AATATGTAGGTGTGATTTTTCTCTTTTATTTTATTTATTTTTTTTTTGTGCATCTAATTCAAACACAGACACAATTTGGCAACAACAAAATAGAACAATCAAAATAAAGCTTTGAGAAGTTTTACAAGGCCAAATTCACAAAATCAAAAAAATTACGATTATTTCGTGCCACACACTAGCTCATTCACTCGCTCCCTCTCTCTTTTTCTCTCTCTTGTTTCAAACATAGAAAAGCTTATTACAAAAATAACGAGAAACTAAATATTGATACGTTATTTCTTAGGACCGCACTTGATTTTATTTTACTTCAAACAAAAAGACAAGCAACAATTTCTACACCGACAATATATATCCTTTTTTGTGTTTTTTAGGTAGCAAAGAGGGGCCCAATCCGTGCTATTTATGACAATAATTGACAATTGGTTTTTAGGCAAACCTCTGAAAAGAGGTTTTTGACCTGGTTTGGACAAAAACACCATATCAGTTTATTCGTCTTTTGCAAATTCATGTCATTCATCTGTCTAGAATTGTACATTTTACAATGTGATAATTATTTCACTAGAATGACTAGCTAGAGTTGATCAGAAGAAAAGAATGGAAAAAATGGAAATTAATCAATAGGTAATGAAACAGAATGGAAAATGAATCGAAGGAATGGATCAGGAATTGTAGACTAATGGAATTGTAATTTTTAAGTATGTATGCCTAGAATGACTACTTTAAAAAAAATAAGTAAACTCAGTGAATATATCTTGGCTGCCTTCTAAATAACCAATTCAAACCTCTCCCTAATTGCAGTAGATTTACAAATGCTGAAAATTTACAAAAATAGTGAAAATCATTACTCAAAATTCTAGAAAATAACAAAGAAGAAAAAAGAGCTTACTTGCCATAATGAAAAGGCATGTCACACGTAAGACTATCTTCCCTTCACTTTTCTACGGATCGAATATGTGAAGCGCATGAAGCGAATCACGCTAGTGAATACTAGAAAAACTAGTAAATCTAGTGTGAAGAATGATGTCACAAACGAAGCCAAATTCACACCGAAGGCCATATAATTTATATGAAAAAATACTGAGAGCCAACTTCACGCACTAGAATTTTCTAGTTTTCTAGTGAAGTCTTATCAAAAACTAGATGCACTAGAATTTCGTGAATGACCCCATGGTGAAGCGGGCGGATAAGAAACAAACAACCTTGAGGATATTTGTTTAGAAAAGCAGGTAAATATATGGCTCTCATAGTTCAATTCTTTACCTAAATGGTGTGAATCTGTAAAATGAGTTAAAAGATCACTTTGTTGTCGAACGTCGACTGAAAAACATCTCAAGCAGTGATTTTTATTTTGAAAAGTAAAAACTAAAAAGATATCCAAGTGTTTCCGAAAAAAAAAAAACAATATATATAATTTTCAAATAGAAGAAAAATGAGCCTACTTTTGAATAGAACAATATATAAGCCAAAATCAAATGTAATTTGTGTATCTCCGATGCCATGCGAAGTAAGTTATACATTTTCTTTCGAATAGACCTAAAAAATGAGATTGTATTATGAAAAATATTTTTAACTTTCAGTTTTATTATAATCAACATGCAGTTTTTGAGAAATTTGGTAAACTTCGATTCGTTGGAATCGATATACGCAAAAGTGAGGATCATTCTATTGTTGGATTCGTTGAATTCGAAGAAGAATATAATTCAGTTGCTGAAAATCTGCTGAGTAAGGGCTATATGGAAATTGAAGACAAGAAATATCGCGTAAAATCGTACAACGATTACATACAAGACTCGAAACAAGTTTTTACAACGATATTAAAACTTGATGATACAGAAGATGATCCATTGTTGCAACCACCAGACCAAGATTCACCAAAACATATTTTGAATGTGCTAAATGATGATTGTTTATTTGCATTCTTTGAACGGTTACATTTTTCAACATTGATTTCTGTGGCGAAAGTTTGCATTCGTTTCAATGGCATAGCAAAAAAAGCATTTTCAAGCAAATATAAATTTGGAAAGATAAATATTCTGGATTTGGAATGGAATCGTCAGCCAACATTATCTCAAGTTAAAAGATTTCTCAATGAATTCGGTTCATCAATTACATCCCTGTCACTCTTGAAAAGATCGGTAGGCCGATACACCCGAAGAGGTATTAAAGACACAGGTATTCTGTTAGAAATGATAAATAAATATTGCAAGAGCCTCAACGAATTGGAATTTGAAAGTTTGGAGGTACATGAACAAACATTATATGAAATTCGTGGATTATTTGAACGATTAGAAATACTAAGAGTGCACAATTTAAAAACTGCATCCATTTTTGATATTATTTCCGTTTGTTCTGAACTAAAGATCTTAGACTTGCATTTCTTTTCTGACATAAGAGATGATGGATACTTTGTCTTACCAAATACGATACACCCGAAATTGATTGAAGTTAACATGCGATTTCCATCGAAAGATGCACACCTTTATTCCAAAGCAATTCAACGATTTACTGAACTGAACTCCAAATTGAAAATATTGAAACTTTGGCTTGCATTTAAATTGGTTATGACAAATTTGAGTAAGCTTAATGAACTAAATGAATTCGAAATAATTTTAGAGTATTCAAATTTTCCGACACTCATCATGAAAACATTGAGTTCGCCGAATGTTCAAATCGAGAATTTGAAACTGTTTATAGCCAATTGGCCTTCTGGTTCCTTAGAACATGATTTAATAGAAACGCTTTCAAAATTTCCTAATTTAACGGAAATTCGTATTCGATTTGTGCATTCATTAATTAGCGATGTTTTGATTCTTCTGTTGAAAAAATTGCCAAATATGAAAACGCTTTCTTTTAATTTGTATAGACTTAAAGATTTTAATGTTATCAGCAAAAACGAATGCTTTATAATAAAATCAATTTTACAGCATGCAAATCAATTATCGAAATTAACATTTATGACCGAAAATGCACATTTTCCATTTGATCGTTATCCCATCAGTAACGCTGAATATTATGACATTTTGAAATCAGTTGAAAATCGCCGTAACGGCATCAAACTGACTATTGAGTTCTTATTCTGTGGCGATTTAGAAACTGAATATACAGATCAATCGCAATCAATTCTTATTCTTAATATGGTACCGCACTTATTGACCATTCACCAACGAACCAACTATAAAATGTACAATTATGCAATTCAATAATGTATTAGCTTATTAATGAAAGCAATAAAATGTTTACATTTCATTCAAATTACGTGAGCTTTTCGGGGTCTCCATTATTGGACTTGCTTTGACATTGACAAAAAACTATTACTTTAAATTATCTCTGAAATGATTTTAATTTGATACTTTCGCATTTGAACGTGTCTTTGTCACGTTTTGGAAGACATTTTCTTGATACTTTTCAAATTATCTCGAAGAAACAAAAATAATTATCGATTCAACAGAGATTTAGTTTACTATTAAATATCACGTATATAAAAAAAAACTGCAGTTAAACCAATAAAAACAAGAATCTAGCTGATAAAAAAAAAATAAATCTAAGAACGATGCACCAAAAAGTAAATTTCGAACACAAATATGAAAATGATGATTACAAATTTGATGTACAAGTCTGGACTATATAATCAACTGACACGGCCAAAAATTATCATATTTTCTGCGGTCTTCTACATTCGATCAACGATGAGTTTGGGCTTGCTTCTAATATTTTTGATAGGTGGAAACATCGCAACTGGTGAGTCATTGCTTTTTGATCGAAATTTCTCTCAAATTTTATTTATTCTCTTCATCATTTTTTTTAGATCCGCTACATCATCGGTCCGACTATTACACCCATTCGCATGATCTTCAGATAGAAGATTTGAACATTTATCATGTGCCACCTGAGGATATAAATATTCGGGAGGATGAGCATACTCCATCCGAAAAACTTCTATGGACGAATGCGAACGTATGGGTTGAAGCCTGGATAGAGCACCAATTGGATCATCATACATACTCAGTCAAAACCGAATTCATCAATGAAATCCCAGCTGGAAACGTAATAGAAGGCTTCAGAGCAAATACACATAGGGGTTGGAACTTTGTGACAGGTATGCATATTTGTTAGGTATAGATGAATTTGAACAATTATTTTAATATGAAAATTATTCGTTTTTAGAACATTCAGTGTGGATGAATATTAATATACGATATCCACCCAATATACGTTTTAATAAGGTCGCTATTCCAATTTACGGTGAACGAATTGAAGACACATTGAATTTGAGAAAGATGGAACCAGTGGGACACTACCCAAATCGTGATTAGAGTCTAGAGAAAGTGTTTTGATTAATAGTATTTTAACTCTTCAAAAATTTCAATTTGTGTTTACAACAATTCGATGTTCTAGTTTCAATCTGAAATAGATGCAATATATATTAAATCATTCCTCGTTTGTGTGTTCTTTTTTTCAGCCGCGCGTATAATAATAAGGCAAGTCAGGCTTTGTAATCAACATCTCCGTCGAGATAAATGAGGTATAATAAAAGTGTATGCAAAATTTTTTTTTCTTACCTTGACATAAACTGTACGGCGTTCACATCAAATCTTTAGCCATAAATCACAAGAGCATGTGCTTTGAATTGTTTGAAAACCAAAATGCATTAGGCTATGTTTAGCGAAGAATGAAAATGACTTGAGTAATAATAATAACATTCCTTGCGCTCGTTAAAAATTCCCATCGATTTATTATGTTTTTTCAAAAGGTCCGCTTTCCAATGTAAATTAAATGCAATAAAACGAATAGAGTAGAATACACTATTTATTTATCAATATCATTAAGTGGTATAATTCACAATGATTTTTTGTCCATTTTTTTTCTCACTAAACAAAAGCATTTTTAGGCAACTTTAACAGATTTGATATATATGTAGTATATATATTTTCTCATATTTATAATTGATATGTGCTAACAGTTTTTTTACGGAATAATGGATTAAAGTTCCGTACGAATGGTTTTATTTTATTTTATTTTTTGTTCAGAGATATTATATCAGTATTGATTATAGCGCAGAGACATTTGTTCTTTTGTTTTATACTTGAATAGTGTGAGCCGAAAAAAAACATGTAAAAGGATTTATTTTATGTCTAAAATTGTTTGTTGTTATTTTATTTGCTATTGCAACTGATATTCTCATTTGATTTGATTGTGTGTTTGTGCATTTTTATTTTTATTTGAATATTTCAACATTTCGTACGAAAATTGTAATGCCAATGATGATATAATTTGTTTTTCATTGATATAGAAGTGAGTGATAGAGAAACGATATACAGTTCCACACATTGAACCTCTGTTCTCTTGCAAATCGATTATCGATTTTTTAAAAAAATATGTAGGTGTGATTTTTCTCTTTTATTTTATTTATTTTTTTTTT